AATTTAATAATTATTTAATTATTATTATAATTTAAAAGTACTTTAATAAGAATACAGAATAAGTAGTCAATTAATCTCTCTATGGTAACATGTTTCACCATGTCATCGTTTAAGTTCCTGGGAATGGATGAAAATTCAGCAGCCTATGACTGGCCTAGTTCCTGTTGGCAAACCAAAAACCTAATGCATGATGCATTATGTTCCACAACTTTAAACTCAACATTTAAAAATCTTTACTAATCCTACCATGATTGACAATTCTGCTTTGAAGGCATCTGCATTCCTGGCTTGTAGTTTTTTCCATTTTCATAACAGCCACAATTAGAAACACAGGTCATGGTTTCTTCATTAAAATAGGGCTTATTCTTTGGACAGTGTGGATAGCAGCCTGCAATAAATAATGAGGGTTATGTTGACACTAGGCCTTTCACAAGTGGAAGTAGTTCTATACTCTGCTTATATCTGCTTTTCCCAAATTATCCCATATGATAAGTGGAATTTCAGACTTTGTTACTATTCCTTTGATTGCACATTAGCTTTGGAGTATTTTGTCATCATCGTCACCTCAAACAAGTTAGTGATCCACTGAGGAGTAAGATACTAATTAAAAAATCTCTTCTTATGATTTCTAATATAAACATGTAATATACTGAGTAATATAAATTTTGTTAATCATATTGCATTTTAGCTTTTTATAAGTAGAATGGGATATGCATGATTATGTTTACCTTCCAAACCTCTCAACTCATGAAGGCAGCTCCCACTTGGATTATTGCAGGTCTTCATACAAGGGGCTCCACATGGCTTGTAGTGCCACTCACATTCCCCTTGTGGGTTGTAGTAATCGCAGAACAAAGCTAGAGGAAGGAAAAATGATCTTTGGTCTTTTTGCTCTACAATCTTTCAGATTTACTGGGTAAAAATCCCATGTGGTCAGCATACTCACATAGGTGGTGAACAGTATACTGCCTTATTTTTAATTTAATACAATTGTTACACTTCTACTACCTTTTGACATCAATAAAGTTATAAAGCGTAGAACAGAGATACACATTAAGCATGAAAAATCAATTAATTGAATCACTGATTTTAGCTAGTATGCACTAAAATTTATTTACATTGAGCTTAATGTAGACTGGTGGGAGTGTAATATAATATTATAGTTTATCCGTTGTGTATCATGATTGATAAGTAAATCAGACACTAATAACACCATTGCTAAAGTTACTATCGTAGGTATCATTTTAAGAAGATAGATTTGCTTCCAGTGTTTTACCCAACTTCTTCATGGAGTTTTTTTTGCTGTTTTTAAAATACAGCAGTGCCTCTTATAAATACAAATTTATCCTTCTTTCTTTCTTCATTCTACTTGTTTTTCTTTTTTTATTCTTTGTTTTCTTTCCCTCTGGACCCATTCAAAAAGTAGTAGGGTGAGACTCACGACAAATGGATGGAGTTCTCCATGAAATGCAGATGTCCAGCTCATTGCACGCTTGAGCATAGGCAGCTACTGCTGTACAGAAACATTCACAGTCTCCTCCAGTGTCACAGGCACAAGCATCATCCACGCATGCTTGATAATATTCATTTGGTTCAACCTGTTGGAGAAAACATTTGAGTTCTCATGTACTTGTCCTCTTTGAAAAGACATTCACTGTCCTAAAAAAGCTGAATAAAAACTCTGAAACTGACAACTCTGTGTGAGAAAGATAAGAAAGGAAGAAACAATGAGAATACTTTGAAAAATGAAGAGGAAAATGTAGAATAAAGCTATTACTAATAAGTCGTAATGCAAAGAACTATTTGATGTTGAAGATACCTTTGCAGAAAGAATACTGTTATTTACTACAAGCTAGCACACAGTCACATATATCAGGTGGCTGATATTTGTATTAGTAGAAAATGATGCCATTAGAAATTAAACATATCCTGAGATTTAACTGTGATTGTTCTTTCTATCAAAAAAACCCCAACTATCAATTTCTTTAGTGTACCAGTTCAAGGCACAAGCTGAGAAAATGAAAGTGAAAATACTTTCTATGCAGTGTCCCTGGAACTTGGTCTGACTTCACTTTGTCAAGCATGACAAAGTGTGTTTTAGTGTATTTTTCAGCCATCCCACATAAAAATTAATGTAATCTCTGGCTCAAGAGAATTTAAGACTGAAGTTTTTGTCATACCTGGGAGTGACACTTTGCAAACACTTCACTGGTAATGATGCTGCATTGCTTCTGAGCCCAGGCTTTCCTGTATGGGTTCGCAGTGCATGGATCCTTGGTACGATTGGCATTTGGGCAACTAGAAGACACTTTCCAGCTATTGGCAAACTCCAACACATTTCCTACCACAGACTGACTGCGAGTAGTGAAGTCATTATTTCCATTGCCATCATAGTTTCCACAAAGTCCACAGACATGTCCCTGCATGGGGATAAACACAAAATGGCAAAGATCAGTAAGGTGCAGTTTCTCAGTATCTGCAAGTAACAGTCCTCAAGATGAATCAATCTTAAGCTTCTCTGGGCCTCTTAAGTAACAGTCTTGGACATTTTCATAAAATAACTTTCATGAAGAGATGTCTTTAACTTGTTAGGAAGGATAAAGATAGGAAGCAGAATAGACTCATGTTTTTTTGTTCTTAATATTGAGCCAATCAGCTTTATCTAATCCTGAACATACCTCTTCAGTGAGGGCTTTTAATGAATACAGCTACTGATGTAGTTGCTGTTATGCCATTGCTGAATACTGTAATTTAAGGAAAATGTGTAGTACGCAATCTAAATCAACACTACAAGGATAATAATATGTAATTGCTGCTCTTTTCAGTCTTCCAGTTACAGCCTAAGTCTCCATTTTTTTCTTTGAGAGATAACATGAATATGTTTCATAAATCATTTTATCCAGGCTTTGGATTTTTAAATGTACCTGAAAACTGGGACTAAGTTTGATGAATATACTGGTTTTCTTGTCCCACATGAGTATCAGGCCAACAGTAGTGTCAACGACCAGGTAGATGCCCATGGAATGGATTTGGAATGGCATTTTTCCTCCAGATGTCCTCTGGATGACATCAGAGTGTCCATCACTGAGTACCAGCTCATAGTTCTAGGACAGGAAAAGAAAATGTTAGAGGCCAATTAAAAAAGTCACCTATCGGGTAAAGTTTTATATATTACCAGTAACTGTTAATTGAAATAACAACTCTATTATCATCAAAATTATCCTATTTAACAACCTCAAGTTAAGCAATTTCTGTTTAGAATTCTTTCATTTTCTTTCTCTAGCAGAGACCAGAATTGTTGGCAGTAAGCAAAGCAGCGTAGTAACATTTTCACTGTCTTGGAGGACACTTCTATGATGCAGTCTATCTGGGACAGCTTGTTCCATCCTTCTGGCACATTAGGCCCTGGGTACAACATATTAAAGAAAATACTTACCCCCAGGAAAACTTTAATAGACTTAGAGCAGGTCGTTCCTGTAGTGCCACATGGAATGTTCTCAGTGATGACTCTGAAGGTTCCCTGATTCATACCTTGTTGACCACAGTAGTTCTGAAACAGGGGAATGATATTCAATGTTGACTATGCTACATGGTCATCTGTAAAACGCAAGGTACTTCAATAGTGCAAAAATCTGGGAAGGACTTTGTTACCTGGACCAGAACATATTCACAGTCTCCTTCAAAATCAAAGCGTTTGCCATCAAAGGTGGTGTAATGCCCATCTCCATAAACAGAGCAGGTTTCCAGGCAAGGTTCCTCGGAGCAGTGCCATTTCCTGTTTCTACATGTGCTACATAAGTCAAAAAGCACTCCAAATGTAAAAACCAGACATACACATGATATAGCTATATGTACATTTTTGCATGTACAACAATCTGATTTTAAAATGTGTTAAGTCTATAATGAAAAAATAGGGTTTGCTTATTCTCAGAAATACAGCATAGCTCAAGAGCCTTTGGGATTTACCCAAAGACTGTGTTACTTCATGATGTCATGAATAATTTGGGTTAGAAAATACTTTAAATCTTTTACATTTCCAAATCTTGTTGGATGTATTGAAATGTAGCAATTGCCTTCAAGGAAAAAGCTTTCTAGTCTCAAATGATTATGACAACATCCAAACCAAAAGTGGTTCTTTTGACCACTTGCAATTTCTGTGCTCTGTGCCATTGTAAAAAACAGACAGAGCTTGCTTTTTAGGTACTAAATGGATCATCTTATGTAGGATTCCCCCCTATAAAACTTGATACTGCAAGAGTGAAATGCTGTAATTCACCTAAAGATTAAACTATTCCTTTTCATATGCTTGAAAATAATATTTTTCAATATGTTCTTACCAGTTGTTACAGCCAACTCTGATTGATTCTCCTGGACTGTAGGAATTCCCATTATGAACACATGGACAGTCTTCTGGAGCTATACAGCCGCCTTTGCCATCTAACACTTGGTTATGAGGACATACACAGCCAGAGACACAGTGGGTACTGTACTGTAAGGACCATTTAGAAAACATGACTTGAAACATTTCCATAATGGAAGAGTCCAGCTGCAGCTGGTAATTGTAAAAAAGATCTAGTTTAATATGTTTTCAACTGGGTATAAAGAGTCTATACTTACGCATTCCATATCTAGAGTCTGACAGCTCTTCTGGCATCCTGCTCCTACCACATCTGCAGTGGCATTACCACAGTCAATATAGACCATGGGAGCTATGCAGACTGAAAGAGAGAAAAGCCATGAGAAATGTGAGATCAACCATGTTTTTATATCTTTGTGTTTCCTTAATGCAGACTGAAGAAAAAAAAAAAGACTCCTTTGTGAGATACGTGTATCTTAATATAATGCATTCCACCAGAAAGAGAAAATGAATATTGTCATGCTCATCTGTTTTTTGTGCTTATGCTTGGACTACTCATAGAAATTAATGTTTAGTTAGCTTTGTGAAACACTTCCTTTCAGAAAAAAAACACAAACAAACCACAAATAAAACAAGACAAAGATCCTGGTTTACTTTGTATTTGTTTAGGCTTTTAGTACTTTTACTTCATTTAAAATATGGACAGTTTTCTCTTCACATTCAGTAAAGTGACCAAGTGTTCTTTCCCCCTGGGTAATCCAGGGGGTTATAACTTGTTTCATCCATCTGAAAGGTAAGACCATGTTTCTTTATATGTTAGGAATAGCCTCTACTTTACAGAAATCATCTGTTCATTTTCTTGTTTGATTTTAGACTTGTACAATTTGTATCATTATGAGCAAAAAAGAGAGAACTGAAAAGGGTAAAGATGGAAAGGGAAAATTAAAGAAAATCTTAAGTGATCTGTTACCTGGTTCAGGTTTCTCTCCAATGCAGCTCAGCTTTCCATAGGTGCAAGTGCTGTAAAAAGAGAATGGATATGTTTTTGCTTTTCCTTCTTAAGTTTCAACTTGTTTCCTAATGAATTTGAAGTAATGAAAAATTAGTGTGATAAAACAGAGAAAATGTGTCCTTTATCAAAATAGTTTGTACTATTAATACATATATTAGAGCAGATGAATATACAAGTATATTCTATATGAAGACAGATTTGCTCTGTCCATTTGCCTGGTTGAAAACTGTCCTTCAGAATAGTTCAGATTCCATTCATAGTGGGAATAATCTGTAATGGGATTGTCAAGCACCTTCCACCATGGAACAAATCTTTTACAGTCATGGATAAGAAAAGTATATGTGGTGAGGAGTGACTGAGTGACTGGGTGAGAGTTTGGCTGTTAGCCAAGGCTAACCCACCACAATATGGTTTGTTGAATTCCTGTACTAGTCTAAGTACAATATTCCAAACATGGATAGCCCTAATAATTTTTAAGGATCTCTGATTTTTTGTATTGAAATTATTAGAGAGAGAAATGTACTCGATTTGAATACATTGTATAATGTATACATGGTTTCATGATTGCCTATATCCAATCTCATTCTTTTGTTTACAAATCTCTTACCAGACAACACCATTATCATGAACAACTTCTCCAGAAGACAGAGGCATTCCTTTGTAGTAACAAGGACAGCTAGAAGCAGGCACACATTTGCCACTTTCATCCATGTAGGTTCCATTTACGCAGGTGCAGCCATCAACTGGGACAAACTTGATGCTGCATGTGACATCAGGCTCACTCAGAGACCGGCAGGTGGGTTGACAGGAATCGACATTGTAAGTGTACTTCAAGGATTTCGGACACCAGGTGGTGTATTTTGCTTGAGAGTAAAAAGGTGAGTTACATTTGTAGTTCATTTAAGAATCAATGTAGGTATAAATGCAGTATTTGAGGTAAAGTATAGACGATAAACATGGTGATGTATGTACATGTGGTTTGCTGATATCCTTGACGGTATAATTTATATTTTCTTGTACTGCTAGAGGAAAATTTTACCCTATAAATGTGTCATGAATACAAAAGTTTTGTCCAGGTTAAAAAATGAAAAAAGTTCAGTTATAGTAATGCATAGTGTGTTTTTTCTTCATTGTTATTTTTATATTTTTTGTCAAAGTAAATTGAGAAACACTCTACTTATTTTACTCCTGTTGCAAGGGTATTGAGGTCCATGTTGTTCCTGCTGCAACTTCTGAGCAAGTAATCTAACAAAGCCTCTTTTTTATATTCCTCCCTGCTTACTGCTTGTCTTTTATGGTATTCCCTTCCTCCTCAAATTCTTGAAATTCAATGCTATACTTAAAACACAATTTGACAAAATTTACTGTGGGAATCCCTGAGACCTGTTGTGTGGGGGCTTCTGGATGATCATTTTCAAGAAACAAAGGGATATTGAACTTACTGCAGGCTTTGCTCCTCCATCCGGTGAGGAGAACTCCTTTAGCAGCACAGGCCCTGACATAGCTGGAAAGGGCAGCACACATGCAGTCCTCACTCTTCTCACAGTTACACGTGTCAAACATGCAGTTCTAGGGACAGAGGATGACATATGATCATCAGATTGTCATGTCAAAGCCATGGCACTCTATACTTTTTAGTGTCTTGTTTGTTAGAGCTAAAAGTGAGCGTAAGCCATATGCACAAGTAAACATATGTCTGTTTTTCACTTGAAGATTTCATTGAGCACTTTCAAAAAAGATTCTTTGCAAGGAGGGAGAGTAATCAGAGAGTAATTAGTAATCACAATTTTAAACTATTTTTTCTTTTTCTTGTTCTTTTTTACTTTTTCAGGTGTTGGTATGTTTCCCAGCTACTTCCAGTTTATAGCCACTGTGCCATATATACTTAGAAGAACTTTTAGGAATTAGGCTTAGGAATCTGGGCTTTCTGCATCAAGGGAATGAAGAAAACAAGAAGTCATTTAATGTGTTGCTATGCTGGGCAAAGTCACTATAATGTTATCATTCCAGAAAATGTTTGTTGAACATAATCTCGCAGGTTTTCAATAACAGGGACACTTTGTAAACTCCACAGGCAGTCTGTTCCAGATTTTCAACACCTTGAATTCCTGGAACATTTTTGTTCACATTTTATCTAAATCTCTTTGCTGCTTCTTACACACATTTCTTGCCTTGTCCTTGGATATATGCAAAAGCCTTCTAAGAGCAGTTCAGAGCAACTAAGCAAAGTGCTAGTTGAGATTCTGACTAAAGCTTTCTTTATATCTCAGGAGGGATGGCTTTTGTCCTTTGACCTGATAAGGAGTCCAGGGAGTCCAAGCTCCTAAATGCTTAGGCATTTAGGTTAGTACCTAAAGATATGGGCAGCAGGAATATGCCTATAAGTTTGTCCTCCTGGGAATGGAAAAAAAGATACCTTACAAAGCAGTAATTATTATGATATGTAGATAAAAATGAACCCTTGGCTTGAAAAGAACTATCATGAATGCATGTCCTCCCAATTGGCAAGTTATTCTTTCAGGTGTTAGTATCAGAAATCTGCGTCTTTTTCTTTTAAATTGGAAAAAGTTAAGAGCCAAGTACCTTCTGATAGACTTCTGGATTCACTGTTGAGTGACATTCAGCAAAAGGTCCCATGGTATCAGAAAGCAGTCCACACCAGTGCTGAGCATATTGGTCTGTGAATTGAAAACATGATAAGAATTTCTATTGTACTTCATTGTCTAAAGTCTTGTCTCAATGTAACTATACTTCCTGCAAGGAAATTGCACAAGCTTAACTTTACAATAGAATTCAGCTCTGTATTTGCTGAAACACAGTCTTTCTCTTCCTCTATACAGAAATATGAACTCTTCATAAACTGAATGCTCTTAATTCATGGTAGTTGTCATGGAATAAACTAAGATATCCTTAGCTGAATTTTGAAAAAGAAGGTTCACAGTGTGAATTAAAAATACGCTCGTTCATCTCAGAAAACAGAAGAGAGTATTGTGAATGCTCAAAAATTATGTATTTCATTGGCTGAAGTGGAGCCTGAGAGCTATACATTTCTGAATTGTAAATCTGGTTCTCAGTTTAACAGTGGAAGAACCACACAGAGTACAACCTTCAGTGAGACTATGCACAGCTTTTTTCCTATATGATGATCAGTCCTTTCCAGGAATGGATCCCTGATATGGTGTATGGTTCCAGTTTGCCTTAAGCAAGTGGCAAAAACACGTGCTTTCTTTATCCAAAGGAATATTTTTGAAGGTCAAAAATATTATCCTAGCTATTATTTATTAATTGAAGACTTCTAGTGTCAACTGAGGAAAATAGTGTGTGTGCAAATGGTCCACTTATTTTGGCTTGGTTGTTGATCAGCTTATTCCTACTTTCCATCTTAAAAGAGAATAGAAAGGATTACTATATGCTGAACTTACCATTTTGTATGCTGACAGTACAGGGGTTCTCAAAGGTATTTTTGGCATCAGGGCAATCAGCCCGAGTTTTCCAAGTATTGCCAAAGGCAGCTGAAGTACCCTCTATTACACCACTGGTGGTTTTGAAATCATCTGTCTGCATGTCATTGAAGTTTCCACAGAGACCTAAAAGGAAGCAGGTGGGCTGTGAAAGTCTCCTATAAAATGAAGCGTACTGAAGAATGCAATTGTTATGATAAGATCACTTACCACAGGTCTGCCCTTTATGTGATGGGTCTAAGTCTATAAAAAGTTGCATGAGAGGCACAAGCTGAACCTGTAGCTGAAGACCAAAGGTTGTTTGCAGAATGATGAAGAAAGATGATGGTCTGAATATGGTGACATTTGCTAGGGACATAAGAACATATGAGTTATAATGTCATATGAGATGAGCCATTGAAATATCTGTTCATTATATAGAGGGATTGTACAGCTGTGTTTGATATGAGCCTCATTTCTGAAGAACTGGAGGAAAAATGATCCATACAGGATTTCAAATCCAGCACCAAAATAGGCTGTCTTTGCCCTAAACAACAAATGTATAAAAAAACCTCCACTTCCTGTTAGGTGTTTTAAAATAAGGGGAAGAACGCACACTTCTGTTGCTATTTAAAAGACCACCTTTGCTTGATGAAAATGATATAGCATGATTTAGTGGTGGACTCCAACCTGGACCTATTCTGTCCTTTTGCGGTTTGCTTTCTGTTCAGGTGCAGTAGTATCTGAGAAGAGCTGGTGTGAGAGAAATTCTCCAGTGATGAATGTGCACCAAAGAAAAGGTGAAGTGAGAATGAAGACAGGGAATTAAACAACTTGAGATATTGGATTCCTGTGGCATACCAGAATTTTTGTTTCCCCTCTTATGGCAGTATTTGGATCTGGAAGTGTGCAATGATACTACTTGATTTAATTGAATCTCCATTTAGTTAGAAATTGCTAAAGTTAGACCATAATTTTGCTAAAATTACAATAATTGTATAGGCAAACCCTGTTACTTTAAAAATGAGAGACTGTTGGAGTATCTCGTGTTTGCTGCAGTCTAACCAAAGGTAGAATTTGGTTTTAGATTAACTGATGTAATAACATTTTAAAGTAAAAAATGAGAAACTTCACAGAATTCTTCCAAAGGAACTTACCTGCAGAGAATGGCAGCTGTGTGTAGATCATATTCACAAATACACTGCCAGAAGGCTGGATCACAATGTTCTGTTCACAAGAAAAGGCAATGATTATCAAGCATATTTAGGAAAGGTAAAACACTTTCCAAGTGTCTTCTCTCTTGTATTGTTCAGGATAAAGGAAAAAAAGTGGGGGGAGACTGTGCCACTTGCAATCTAGTTGTTTATTCAGCTTTGAAAACATCCCAGCAGAACATTAGGTGTCTACATTTGCTACTTACAGTTTGTCCTCCACTTAGGCTGACAGCTATACCCTTGAGGCATGTCTCAGTGTCAGTCAGGCCACACTTCTGGATATCTCCCAGAACAGTGAATTCATTGCTGTCGCAAAGCTAGAAGAAGAAAACAAAATATATAGTTAAAAGGATTTGTTATATTAAAATATCATTATCTTAAAAAGGTTCACACTCAAATGGCATTCTTAGTAAAGTGAGTCTTTTAAAACTTCATTGCTTTTCTCCCTGCTCATGTGGTTTTACATATATGTATACAGTCACCAAGTAAGCTCACATTCATGCAGTCTGCACAGTCTAAGCTATCCATTAGTTCTGACATTCAAGGGCAAGTAAAACTTACTAAGCTGGACATTAAAACTTCCTAATGTTTAGGTAATACTAGTTCCTAATGTTTAGGCAATGCTAGTTTAATATGCCAGAGAAGAAGAAGGAAGTGTGCTTTTCTTGCCCATTGGTTATGGTGTTTGTCAGGGAGAGGAGAGAAATTGTTTCCAGTCTTTTCTGCACTGAACAGATTATCAAAAGGCCTGGTGATTTTGACATTCTTTTAACAGGTAGGAAATACGCATTTAAATATCATCACATAGGATGAACTAAAATCACTATTCACTAATCATTATAAATTAAGCTACTGAATAAAGGCAAAATTCATTTCTTCTATTGGTTCTGATTTTCTATTAATTCAATAATTCGATTTTTCAATTCATATAATTCAACTAATTCAAATCAACTAATTCAATAATTTAATTTTTCTATTGGTTTTGACTGTATTCTGTGAGCTATATTCAAAGTGTGCCTAATGGCCAAGACGTTACAGGGGAACACACAGAAGTTTGTGATTCTGAACATGTTGTCTCACTTTCTTGGTGAAATAAAGAATAAATTGTGGTCAGCTGATGATGCAGAATTACAGACGTCTAGAAATTTGATGTTATAATTGTGGGCTTTTTGCTATTATGTGTCCAAGTTTAGGGGTTTTCTGTACCTCCAGAGCCTCTGAGAATCTCATTTCACATGTTGGTGCCAAAAGGGGAGTTTAATGTATAAGTCTGATCTATGATCCCATTGTGTGTCAAGCCCAGTGCTTGTAAATCTCACAAAAAAGTTTAATTTATTTAGTCTAATCTATTTCTAAATTGCCTCATCCTAGTTCATTTCTAAGTTTTTATGGTTCTCTTTCTTGATAACATTCAGTTTGGGCTTTTTGAGGACAGATTTTATTTAATATGAAGTGTGTGGGAAAATTGTTTATATCACTCATCCAATACAAATAAACAACAAATATACCTAGGGTTCTGAAAGCTGCAAATCTGTAGTCATTATTTTAGATATATCTACTTAGAATTCAGTCCCTACTAATCTAAAAACTCCAGGAAATCTTAGGTATTTTTGTAAGTCACTCATCAATTTCTAATTCAGGTTTTAGAATACAGGTATGACTTCTTAGCTTTTTGTTTTTAAACTCTAAGAGTCTTCTAGGCTTAACGGGAAAAAATGTTCGGAGGGTTGATCATCTTAATGAAATAACTCCTCTCCCATGAATTCTGTATGATAATTCCATTACAAATACTGTTAATCAAATAAGCCATTGAACTATATTAACTGTGACAAAAAGGACAGTACCAATGGATGTGATAAGCACTTAAGTAGTTATAAAACACCAGACAGGACATATTTAATTAAAAAAGTAACGGGAAGTATGGGGATAAGGGAATAAGGGGAAGCCTAAAAACTCAGTGCAATTCTTAAACCATGAGCAAAGAACAACTACTACAATATGCTTATGTAATTATGCTTGCACAGAAAGTCCCCTGAAATCCCTTTAAGGCTGCATGTTGACCCTCTAAGTTTCAGAAAGTTCATGTGATTGCTAGTAGTTTTAATTAAACAACATTATATATAATAAAAACATTTTCCTTTAGCCTACTGCTTTAGCAAGGATTGTGACTCATTTTTACCTTGGTTAGGACATAGCTACAGTCTCCGAAGAAGGAATAATATTTCTCATCAAATGTTGAAATATGGGAGCCTCCTTCAATACTGCAAGTCCCAGGGCATGACTGAGTGACACAAGACCATTCACCTCCAGTGCAGGTACTGAAATGAAGGCGGCATTAAGTAACCTCGGGTAATGTAAGTGTAAATGAAATAAGAGACAATAAAGGCAGTTGATATCTTAATTTTCCTCTTGAAATATTGATCATACTGTCAAAGAAACCAACATTGTTCTGAAATCTCAGAGTAAATGTGGGGCAGGAACATTTATATTAGTGATAATTTTTTATATATTGCTGTTCATTTCCAGTCTTTGGACAGTATTCAGTCCTGGTGAGCACGGCATCCATTCTGCTATATATGAAGTATCACTCCTCATCTTCATTAGTATGTCTTAAGCTCCAAAAGTGTTAAGTGTTTCTTGGAAAATAACATGCATGTTTGTGGTTCTTGTATTCATAGATAGATAGGGGCATTTGCATACACTTACACAAAAATACTTCAGTAATTATAGTGATATTGAAAAAGATATATCATATCTGTCAAACATGCCTCTCAAATGTGATCTCCCACTCTGTCTTTATGCAACATGTGCCTAAATGTCACATCCTCCATAGTACTTACATGAGCATTCTAGTACCACACTATAGTGCTGCAAAGGGCATAACACAGTAATTCACATTTTTAAACACCTCTAGTATTTGAATTTGATTGTCTCCTTTAATTGATTGGTCTTGAAATTGGAATACCTATATCTAAACTCAAATTTTTGTTTCCAAGTGTGAGGAGAAAACAGAGATGTAAATATCCTCTAAAAATGTATAATCAAGGAACTTCAGCTGGTAAGTAGTTCCTAATTTCTTTTTAAGGAGAAATTAGTAGTTTTTCCCTGTCCTCAAAATGTTCAGGTAATGCACCTAAAAAAAGAAATATGAGAAAGGGAGTATGTTACCATGATCTGCATTTAGATGAGAAGGAGGCACCAGGAGCATAAGTTTCACCTTCATAGGTACAGGGGCATTCTTTACGGGGAATGCAGCCAACACCATTAATGTCATCAAATACCATTCCTAGAGAAAGAAACGGTCTGTTACTCATTCTGTGCACCTGCTTTTGTACACATATCTGGAGACACCTGAAAGCATGTTCCATTTCTTTTTCATTTCACTGCAAATGAATAAAACATACTTCAAAATCATAGGACACTAGCTATGTAGGCATTGAAGGGCTATATTCCATTGAAGCCTATCTAAAATCTTCGGGTGATCAAAAGAGACCTCTAGGGAAGCAGCTTTCTGTTGTGGACTTCCTTAGACTGGAATTAGGATTAAAATTATTAGATAATGAGGTGGAATAGATGAACCATTTGTAAGAGGGCCCAGGGACATATTTGTACAGTAAATATTTTTATACCCAAAGGCAGAGGATTATCTAAGAGAAGTCAGTGCTATTATACAACAAGCGATGGTGAATTACTGAGACATCATGAAGGATGGGCAGAAGAGCTACAAGGGGTGAAGATCCTACCATGCAGTCACTCACAACAGCAACAATTCTCAGCCCCAGAAGTAAGCATGCACAAAGAGAACACATTTGCATTGTTTGTCTTTTATTGAGATTCAGTTCTCATGCGTAATTCTCTGAAGCACCAGATTTTATACACTGCCTAGTGCTCTCTCAGCTCCTTTCATTTAGACACACAACACTGGACAGGAAGGGTTTGGTAATTTAGGGAACAAGACACAGCTTTGCTAACACCAGGAGTTATCATTGTGGGAAAAATGTGATTAAACTTTACATACTTTCTATGAACTGAATATGGATGCTGAGAATAGCAGACTTCCCCTTATTGTTAGGAGCGAAGTATCTTATTCTCAGTTCAGTCATTATGCACATCTCAGGCACGTTTGTTGTTTAAAAGGGCATTTTTAGTAATCTGAATAGAAATGGTACATGCATATCAAGGAAGAAATGTAGTCATTACTTTTATGATAATAACACTGATGACATGATGAGAATGATACAGAGTAGGAAATGTGTAAATGTTAAATGTGTACAGTAAGTGTTCTAGCGGTTTTGACTATGAGAAAAGGGCAGGAAATAAGCTTGCCTGGAGGACAGACACAGCCATCTGTACAATGATCTTCACAAAGTTCAGATCGTTCCGGATTGCTGCACGTGTCAGAGCAGGGAGAGCCACACTCCTGGTATTGCATGTTGAAAGGACATAATTTCGCTGAAAGTAGAAAGATTATTATAATATTGACTTTTCCTATGAAATGTTGAGAAAACTATTTGCAATTTAGGTCATTTTCTGTCAAGATATAGTGGGCATTCCCCATCCAGGTGGAGGCTGCAACATTTTAGACTTTCTGATATATATTGAAAACCATTAGTAATGCAAAATCCTCTAATCTTCCATATTCCCGAAGTCTTGAGTATGCTCAGGTTAAAACTGATTTAATGAAAATTACATGCACCTTTAAATGGCTGTCTTCTTCAGGAATAAAATTCACATATTTGTAGTTTACTAGCTATGGGTAGTAAGCACAGGTGAAAGTCCCTTCCTGAGATACTTACGACATAGTTCTGATGTTCTCCAGTTCAGAGGCTGTCCACCTGCATGAGCGCACTGCCGGGAGTATTCAGCAAAGGTGTTGCACATGCAGAAGTCAGCCATAGAGCTATCACAGTGGCATAGGTCTTGTATGCAAGTTTCAATGTAGTCCTGAACATTCACAAGTGCATTACAGCCTGTAAATGCTTTACTGGTTAACACTGTCTCACAGATAGAAGCCTAGGAGGGAAAATAGAGAAGGTAAAAAAAATGTTTAGAAAATATGAAATTAATTATTTAAGGCATGTAGCAGAGCAAGCCAAAGGTCCATCTGGTCCAGAAACCTGTCCAACAGGAGCCATAAGCAGATGGGTAGGGAAAAGTATAACAATAGGGCAAGCACACATGGAACTCCTTTTATTAGCCCCCATATCTTCCCATATCTTGAGTTACATTCAGCTCAGGTGACTTCCCAAGCATTATAGAGTTTCTTTGTATTAAGACATCCTCAGTGAATTTCTCTTTCATGAAAATATCCGGTCTTCTCTTGGAAGGGCAATGCAACATTTTAACATTCACTTTAGCAAAGAATAAAAAAATTAAATTTAGAAAAATTTTCTTTCCAGACCTATGGTTGAGTCATATTCATGCTATATTTTTTCCAATTTCAACAGATTTGCTCCAAAGACAGGGAGAATATATTTTACGCTGATAAAATAAATTTTGAGAGGGAAGTTCTTACAAATTCAGCTGAGCAGTTCACCAGAACAGCAGGAGGAATAGGATCAGCACACTGCTCTGTGGGTCCATCCATTTTCTGCCTATTCCCGAACTGTATGGGAGTCAGTTTTGTCTCTGTAAAAAGCAGTCCAAATATTAGGATAATATTTACTGGTTTACTGGCTTTTGTGTGGAGATATTTTCTTTTGTGTCACTACCTGCTATGACATGAACAATGATTACCAGATAATGTTAGTATAATATAAAAGCAAAAGGAGATGAAGAAGGTATACAAGGAACTGTACCGTAACTATTGAAAACAAGTAGGAAGTTGTGTGTGGCAGGTCTTTAAAGTTCTAACAGTGCTGGAAGCAGCCTACTACATCTCAAAGCCCTGACTGTATACATAACTGACATCATGGAAATACATAAGAAATATCACTAGTTTTGCAGTTAATACAACCTACAACCTATGTTACAGTATACCGTTAAAAGAAAGAAAAACAAAGCAACAATACTTAATAATGCTTTTTATTACTTACTCTCGGAAATAAATTCATTGCTAATTGGAATTCCATTGAAGTCCCCACAAAGTCCGCAAGTTTGATTGGCATATTTCTTATCTAGTTCAACCTAAAAGAAATGAGGAAAGAGAGCTTAGCTTCAATGTCAGCCTTGATGGTTAGGAAGACAGGCAATGTCAATATTGCTTTTGTACTCAAAATCTGACATCTATGCTGTGCAGACTGTGTCGTGTGCTAACAAAGTAGGCACCATTGGGAAGGTCAGTGACCACCAAGAAAAACTTGGTCTTATTCTAGCCCCGGGGCTGTGAACATCAGCTCATTGCCTGGTCAGGAATCTCAGTACTTCACTGTGAGGTGGGTATGTTATAAATGGGGGTCTATTGATCCTGATCTGAGCTTGGTGAGAAAAAAAAAAGGGAAATTGGGAGAAGACTGGAAGACAGAACAATACACTAAAAATGGACACAAATCCAAAAGTAACTAATGCCTGCCTGGCTGATAAGAATACAAAGATGTAAACAGACTGTTTTCCAAATACAGGCTTTCTGCCATGCTTTGGATGTTTTCTTACCAGGAGGGCATCCTCTTCATTCCAAAGGAAGGTCAGACCTAATTTGGCAGAAACTTTCAAATAGCTGTTGCTTCTCTCTATCAAGACTCCCATATGGCTGTAAGGCATCTGAACCCTGGGGAAAGGTCACTGTAATTCAGCAGGGCTAGGGACAGAATTTAGTCAGAGCAATAACTAAATACATCCAACACAAGTCTGTAACATATTGGCTGTTTCTTACACAATTGCTTCTCATTACGCAAATGGATCAGCCTTGCTTTCCCTGCTGTTCCTTTTGGCTAACTCTGTTAATGCTCTTTTGCTAGGTAAAATGTTGGCATGTGTCTTCAGTTCGTATTGTTCAGAAAAGTGCTGGGAGGTTCTGTTTTGCAAGCAGTATTCTTCAGGATATTGCTATTTATTCCTTAAAGCCCTTGATAATAAAGGGATAGACTCTTTAAGCTTTCTATGACATGAGTACCGTTCACAAAGGCAAGCCAAGATAACCTTTAGACTAGCTTGCTGTAGATAGCTGCTACGATACACAGCTCACTGTGGGATAGCTGCCCAAATATTTACCCAGCCTTTTGGACAACTTTCACACCCTGCGCCAAAGTCAGTGCTACCATTGCTACGTAGATAGCAAGTTTCCAGACTAGCTCATTTTAGATGAGCACAGGTACAAGCTGTAGTCACTGCTTACTGTTCAGTGCAAGGACAAAAGCCATAAAAATTCCTCTCAAGAATCCTGTTCTGGTAAAATTATTGGAAAGTAGAAACTTAAAGGGTGTAAAAACTTAATACTTTGACTGAATCCATCTTATATACTGTTATATACATACACAATTATAGCAAGTGGGGCAGCAACTGGGATACAGCTCATCTGAACAAAATGGACACAGGAATAATCTGCAGAAGTGGTGCTTAGCTCAAGGTCAGGCCCTCTTATTTTTATTGATACTTCAGGAAGGACCTGAGCCCTCCAGCTGCTTAGGAGCAATGTGAGATCAGATGAGGTAAAGGCATGGGAGCAAAAGCAGTGATGACAGTTTCAAAGTATGAACATACGGTTTGCCATCAAGCAGGACAGAGCTGCGGGTCAGTTCAATTACTGTTCCTTCCAGCTTCATGATGACGTGAGTGATCATGGTAGCATTTTCCACTATTGTACGCCTAATCTGGATGTTGAAGTCCTCATAGGGAGATTTGCAGTTGGATGCAAAGATGTAATTGCAGACCCCAGGGAAGTAAAAGATGTCCCCATCAAAGGTCTTGAAGTGGAAGTTACCCCATGTACTGCACACACGGCCATTGTGAGAGGGGTTGCCAGCTGTGGATTCAAAATAAGAAGTAAGAATTTTCTGTAATTTGCTGTAGATACCCTCCCTTTTGTTGCTTTCCCCCTTTTATTTCTTTGACCAGACTCTGTCCAAAAAGCCCATCTCTGTTTTCCTTCTTGTCAAGCTATTTATTTATTGAACTGTTATTTATTTAGTTCAGTTATCTTTTGTGTTTAATCTGTTTTCCTCAGGGATATAAGTGCCTAAGATTGGAAGAGACCTCCCGGTTCACTATGTCCAATGGTCTGGTTCTGCTGATAGCCATATTCTATAATTCCTTTCCTAAATGTATGAAGTTCTAAAGTTTTACCATAAAACCAATATAAAGTTAGTTTAAAACTAGCTGGTACTCCTACTAGGGATGGCCACTCATAGCCGCACCTTTTGAATGGCTGGAAGGCTTTTGCCAGCATCTTCCAAAACATATTCCTGTCTCATATATGCCTGGCTGTTCTTGTGCTGGTATTACACTTCACCTTGCAGGGGTTCCACCTCCATTCTTCTCCCCCCACCCGTTATAGAAATCATTTATCTCTTTTCAGTCTTCATTTCCTTACAAGCAGGCTCTCCTATCTCCCTGATTGTCCTCACAGTCCCTCTCTGCTTTTCTGCCAGATTTGCACTCACCCTGCTTGAACATGACTAGTCAGAATTGTACCCTATATCCTAGGTAAGGTGTCTCACCAGTGCTTTGAACACATTAATATTTCCCTTTCTTTACTGGAAATATTGGGTATGATTTATCCCAATATTTATATAATTTTTAACTTTTTTTTTTTTACAGCTGCATCATATTAACAAAATGCAGGCTGAGTACTGGGGTCACATTTAGATTATCCTTGTTACCTGATGAACTGACTACTTTTCTTATTAGTTTTTTATTTTATGATGCTAAAGGATCTTACACAATTTATTAATTTCTTCAGTCACTCCATGCTCTACCTGTTTGATTAACAAGAACACAGATACCTGGGCCATGACATTTATTTAACTTACCCTTTACTTTCAGTGTGTTTTGAAAAGGCGGAATGATTGTCACTTCTTGGGATTTTAAAGCTGGTGGAAAATCTAAGGGAGGGAAAAACAATCAAGTTTTATCTTATTAGAAGTCCTGAAAAATTGATAGAGATTGCCTAGTCTCTTTACTGATTAACATTTCCTACTACTAGTTACACTCTAGGGGGAAGTTTCCACAAGATTTTATTGGTGTTTTTTATGCAGTGCATTGTGTTCTGTCTTTCTACATATTTCACTAACAGCCAAATCCCAAAGATGGTACTTTGGCTGTTTGGTTGGTACAGTTTGGTGCAGTTGGTACAGATGGTACAGTTTGGCCGTAGTACTTCTATTATTTGTTCAAGACTCCCATCTGATGCTGGCCCTGATGTTCTGAACTCAAAAGCAGCAATCTGATTCTTAGAGTACAGTGTTGTAATAGTGATGCAGAAAAAGCAGTGCTAATGTCTATGTTTGAACCTTTGCCTTTCAGTACAGTTAGAAGCAGAAGGTTATTGAAGAATATTAGAAGCTAAGGATGAGAAACAGGAGCTGGTTTTTTTCAGAAGCTACTATCTTTCTGTGTGCTGAGACGTACTTTTGCACAACCAACTCTAAGCAGATTTTTTTAAAAAACAGTTTAAATTCTGTGAAACTTTAATCATGTGCTTTTCATGCAAAGACTTCTATTGGTAGGATCTAAATTTTCCATGTCCAAATCCAATGTTTTCTCTTTGGATCCAGCAATTAAAGGGATAGAATACTTAGAGAACATGCAACGTGCTTTTCTTAACATGAGAGTCTGAGGAACTGATGTAGTTTCTCCCTTGAAAGTATCAAAATCAGAATATTACGCCTTCTACACTGTAGATTGTGCAATATCAGCCCTTGACTTCTGCATTTAGACCAAAAAATATAACTAAGATAAATATGTGTTTTAGAAAGACAATCTCATTTAGTCTTGATGTAAGAATCTGTTACAATATTTAAATGCATTCACTGTTATTAAATAATTTGTGGTACACTTCCAGTTTGCGTTTACCACTCTTTTAATTGCCAGCTAGTGACCTCACAAACTGCTGACTGTGGGGCAGGCTTAATGATTAGTTGTTTCAGCCTGTCATCACTAATATACCAGTCTGTGTTGTATCCTTCCACCCTTTTTGCTCTGTACAGTTATGTGTCACGCATGATCCTGTAGTGCTTAATTATTCTAATGTTTAAGGTAGTTTGAGTTTTCTTATTCTCTTGTGAGTGACGCAGTCATCTTGACACTGCATTAAAAATGTGTATTTTATTACCTACTATCAAGTGCCTTGGTGATATGTGTGTATACACACACCTCTTCTGAAAACATGCTTTTAGATAGAAGGTACGTACCTTTCATGAAGTTAAAGATTAGATAACTCTATTATATCTGTAGACCAGATCTTCTGGGCCAGATCTCAGAGGAAGTTCTCCAGTTTAGAGCAGTCAGAGATTGGCTGGGAAATGGATATATTGTACAGACGATGCTATCTCCTTTTTTTGGGGGGGAGGGGGGCAGGAGGGAGTGGGGGAAGGGAACATATGTTCTAGCTAGGAATAAGAAGATTCTAGTAATCTTATTATTTATCATTTTATTTTGGGACAAAATCTTAGAAATGGATCAGCATTAAAATACTTACTTTTTTGTCGCTGCAGGATGGATGGAGAAACATAGTTTGATTTTGTTTGTTGTTCATCATCTTGGGCTTGAACTGCATCAAGAACAGTGGAGGAGGAAAATGTTAATGTCTAATTTTCTTGAGTTCCCTCATCATTTCTCAATTATATCTGTTTAAACATACAACAATCAGTCTATCAAAAATCAGCAAAGCTATGTGTGTGTGCAGGAGGTCAGATTTGCATCAGGACCTGTGCTACATGCAGCCACGATGGCCATATACTACTCATTTAGCTTTTTTTTTTTCCCTAATAAATTACTGCAGGGAAGCCATCAAAAACATGCCTGTGATAATTTGAGCAGATCCTTATTCTGTTATTGTCGCAATACCCTTGGATGCCCTTATAAGCTTTTCAGATAAAGCACTTAATTTTCTTAGTTTTTATGGTTACCGTGTGCTTTAAGCATCAGTAAAACTCTTTTTCTAGCCAGAGGGCCTTAAAAATATGTCCCTTTTGTACAGGAAGAATTCATTTTAGAGTTAGAAGTTAGATCTAACTAAATAATGTAGTTAATTTAGTTTGGATCTCTGTCCTTTTACCGAAAGCCAAAGTTACTCTGTATTTTACAGTTTCAAGCACTTTTTGTAATAAACAGCAGAAGGAAAATAAATGCACAAGCCACACAGAAAGAAATGTCCCTCCAGTAGATACATTTGTGACCCTTGATTTTGCCCCAAAGCAAAAAAGCTTTTTATTTCCAGCAAAGAAACCATTTTTCATTTCATTCCACTGCAGCATCAGAATAGCAATACACATAAAATCTGCAGGGGCCAGATGGGCTTTTAATGCACCACTTAATGAGAGTTCATCAGAGGGCGGGTTGCAGGGGAGGCTATGCTGAAACCGAAAAGGCAGGCTCACCCTCTGCTGCATCCCACAACAAGGGCAGTCCGTGGGTAGCACCGCTAGAGGGGCCAATGCTGAAAGCAGAGCTGCAGGGAGCTCCCTAAGTCCCTTCCTTTTTGCACCAGCTGGGGGTCTGCATCTGGTGTTGGAAGGACACATAGTGCCCTTTTTTTAAGCTATGAACCATCCAGTGCGTCTGGGCTCCTCTTCTCCACTGCCTAGCCTCAGAGAGCTTTTTGCTTCTCTCTCCATGCACTGCATGGCTCCAACACCCTGCCTCATGGCCGTATGCATCGCAGATTCCCGCTTCCATTGCACGGTGTGGTAACGCTACAGCTAGACTTTTGATGGGCTGTTCTTGGGCACTACCACTTTTTTAACACAGGTTGGTGTGGAATTACCTGGAAGCAGGAAAATGTAAAATCATAAAATAAGATCTGCATCTGAGATCAAAACGCACTAAAAACTAACACTGTTGTTACCTTAAACTTGGTGAAGTATACGTAAAAAAGATTTCCACTCATCTGTGAGGAATACGTGCCCTCTTAGAATATTTAAAGCAGCTCCATTTGTTTTCATCCCATCAAAAAACAAGCCTGTGCTCTAAGCTTTTATGCAACCTCATGTACAGAATAGATGAACTTTTAAAATCTGTTGTCCAATGTTTTTCAAGTAAAATCTCTCATTTTTTCAATACTGTATCATCAGCTGATAAAACAAACAAAATCTTTAATAATGCATGCAGACAGACTCCACTGATTTTTTCCTTCCTGAAGCCACTTTTGCGCCTTTTGGTTTGTGCACTTAGAAATGCTGTACTACCTTGAAGTGGACATCAAAAGCTAAATGCAAATCTTGAGGCATTTTGGTAGAAATGTGAGTTCCGAGTGAGTTCCACAGAATTCAGTGGAGCTATTCCAGATTTTGACCAGATAAAATAGGATGAGAGCATGGGCTACAATATGAATTTTCAAGACAGTTAATTTCTTCTCCTTAGGAAGGAAATTATTTGTAGCAGAATATAAAATCTTGCATGAAGGTAACAGGTCCATTAGCTTCAGAAAGCCAAGAAAAAAACATTTCAAACTCCAAAGCAAGTTATACATTCTTTTAAACAGTAAAAACACCAGACAAGTGAATCTTCCTACCTTTGATCTGTATGAAGGCAAGCACTAATATTGATATCCATAGCGGTATTCGTGTCCCACCACCTGTGTCCATCTTCTGGAAGTCCGGTAGAAAGTACCGAACAACCTGCCTTTGAGGAAATACCTGTCTGCTCTCGAGTCTTATATAGTGAGAGAGTAGATTTTGGCTCAGTTCCCAGATTGTTTCACAAGGTCCTTAAAAGGTGGGGCTTCAGAAATTTTAGTTTTCCTTTGCAGGTGCACAGGTAAATAGAGGATGCTCTGACTTTCCCTCAGGTATTTGCACTCTAGGAGGAGTGTTCTTTCTACAGATCTTTTTGATGAAATGTCAAGAAGTGAGCAGGAAGAATTTTTGGTCAGGCTTAGTCTTCCCAAATTGTTACGTGTTACGGGATAAATACAACTTAAGGAACTTCCAAGTGACTTTTGAGCAGGAGCTTGGAATGAATGAATTTTTTTTTTGTTTTCCTCCTTATGGTAAATAGCGGCAACTTTTCAAAGAAACCAAGGAAGTTCCATCTGGGACAGATGTTTTTAATGAGTTTTCACCTATCTATGTAGCTTCTTTGCCTGTGAGAGTGGAGAAATCAAATGCCATCTAAGATCAGCATTTATTCACAGGCCAGGCACAACACAGGACTACACAGTGAAAATCCTTCAACATTGGAGAGTCAGTAATATGGACCCTTCCTTGAGGGATTCTTCTGCTCACATGGGCAGTTTTTAGTGCTACTTCAGCTGTTTCCCATCTGAGTAAACATGATTTCACCATAACAAATCAGATTGATTCTACCTACAATAAAAAAAATATAGATTTTCTTGGTGATTGCTGTTCCTAGAGACACTAAAAGAATGTCCTTTGGAATGTTACTTATCTTAGGAACAATGAGAGAGTGAACAATGTTTTGTGAATGTGTTAATATATTTATTTACAGCTATGTTATTTTGGTGAATTAACCTTTTATAATGCTTTACCCTGGGGTGTAGAGAAACACAGCCTGTCAGTAGGAGGACAGATTCCCATAATCCCACATGGGATCAAACAGTTCTTGCAAAGAAGAAAGTACTGGGGTGGTACCCATATTCTCTGGCAAGAGGACAAGATGTAATTAGATTTAAAACCAGGAATGAAATTTAGGTTAGACATTGGGGAGAAAATTTCTTTTTTACAAGGATGGTGAAGTATTCATACATGTTGCCCAAGACGACTGTGGAATTTCCATCACTAGTGATTTTTAAGAATAGGTTAGAAAAACACCCACCTGAGAATGGTGTAAGTGCTGTTGATAGTGCCCCGGGGCAGGGGAATAGACTAAATGGCCCTTTGAATTCCTTCAAACATGATTTTCTATGGTTTTTTTTTTTCTGAAAAATAATATGTATTCTCTCTGTTGGAGCAGTTATATTTGGGGAAGTAACTTCAACACTGAGAGAGAAATAAAAGGCACATTTTTTTCCCTAAGCAGTAAACAGAAGCAAGAAAAGATGCTGTCTTTCCTGAACATTTTAAAAGTACAACTGGTTATTAATATTTAAATAAAAGTAACATATCTAAATAAAATTGGAAGTTTTGAGGAAAAGAATTGGTTGCTTTCAGTCATGAGTCATACCTCTGGCAACTTTGTTGATGTATAAGTCTGTAAAATTTACCTTAGCATTACTAAAATGAGGAAAAGAAGATGACTACAAGATACTTATACATACAGAAATACATGCAGTGAAAAGTTAAGGGATTTATGTTACTGCCTCTAACAATTATTATCAAAGTTCCAGGATGAAGATCTAAAAAAGAAAAATTTTAATGGACATAACTGGTGTGTAATTAAAGTAATTACAAAATAGTCTAGTAAACTCAGCTGGGTAGCACATGGGTAGCACACAGAAGCTTACTAAGTGATTCTGTTGGTGAGAAGAAAAACGTGCTTTATGAATCATTACATTGGTTACCACCGAAAAATCAATTTGTATCCACAGTTGCTATGCTGTGGTTTCATATATACAGGTTAACATTTCCTACATGTTCAGTGAAGTACTATGACCTCTCAGAGATACCAGTTTGGTCACTACTGATGCTTCCTTTTGTAGGGCCATCACAAATTATTCTGAAACTGGTTTACAGTTAAATTTAACCCTTTTGACTGAACTTTAAGGCACCATAAAAAATGGTTCTCTGTATCTTCATTTTTGGCTGAAAATCTCAAATCCCTTATATGTAATGGGTCACATTATCTATACACTCCTAAGTGGTTATTCCATTGATTAATCCTCTTGTCATGTTAACTTCCATTACCTTGTGCTGACTTTTTTCAGAAATTATTATAAAATGTGTCAAAATATAGGAGACATGCAAAAATAATTTCCAAACATTTATGATAAATTAATTTAGTATTATTACTAATTATTCAAAGAAATAATTCCTCTTCAAATTGTATTTCACCTGCATTCACTCAATAGACCTACACAGGTGACAAGGGAGAGGATTTTTTTTAAGATTTCTTTGGGGTAACATGTTCAGATTTGTGTAGCTGTTTATGATCACATCAATGCACAGTTGACTGCATAAGCAGAAGTATTAATACACTTTAAAAAATTATTGACGTGGTTATTTTTTAACAGAAAATATAAAAGATTCTGACATAGCATTTGATCTGAAAACCCTGACATCTCTTTCTATAGCTTCTCTTTCTTTTTCCTGGGATCGTATTCCTACTTTCTGTACCTGAAATTAGTATTTCATGAATGATTTACTGAATGATTTACATGAATGATTTTACTGAATGATACATTTCAGTAAAAGTTAGCATTTTCACATCCATTCTTTTTAATCCTACATGCTCCATGGTGATGATGTTATTCACACATCTTTCTTTTTCATGGGATCATATTCCTACTTTCTGTACCTGAAATACTAACTGAATGATACATTTCAGTAGAAGTTAGCATTTTCACATCCATTCTTTTTAATCCTACATGCTCCATGGTGATGATGTTATTCACACATCTTACTCATGATTTCTGAATCTGGTTCTTCATAAGAA